CTGCTAGATGGCGGTCTGCTAGACACGGTTCTGCCATACGAGGTTCTGGGGGGGGGGGGGCTGACATGCTGACACCCTGACGCCTTCAGGGGGAGAATAGAGAGACAGAGAATCACACTTTTAGTTGTAAGAAGCTAAATATTGAAGTGAAGCATCTATTAGGAATAGTTTAAAACAGGGTGTATGCTACTTCTCTGCTGCTACACTGCCATCTCAAGGTAAACACAAAAAATAACAGGATCGCTTGAAGAGCTTCAAAATATTCAAATAAACAGACTTCTAACAAATGTGACAGAGTGTCACATTGCTTAACTCTCACTCTACATAATATTTAACATACGAGTGTAATAACGAGGTTGTAATCTACTACTGTCAGTAACAACATTCAGAGCAAAAACTCTTCTAAAACATTATAAGTTATGCAATTAATGACATCTGAGGGGGAAAAAAAAGATTATTATTTTAGGAAAGTTAGTAATTTGCATATTGACAGAGGGCTCCTACCCCCCTGATATTAAAACCGCATAGGCTGCAATTAGGTGCTTTTGACTCATTAGTATTTAAAGAATTATTTTTAAAAAGCACCAATTTAAACAGAAACAGAAAACAATTAAATAAAGTCATTAGGAACAAAAGTCATATGGAAAGATAGAATAAAGCACCCGTGAGACCCCAGTTGGTCGGATCAGGGTTAAAGCCGCGTCTCCAATGAATGACAGCGATACTGATCCGTACCATAACGGCACCATTCAATGCACACACAGCTGCAGTAATCCTGTACAACGCGAGACCTGGACACGAGTTGCATCGCGTTTAATTCCACCGGCCACTTAACAGACACGCAGAGTGGATCCTCGCAGATGACTCATCGGGATAATCTGCTTCCTAAATTGACTCTGGGTATTTCAAAGTAAATTGGGTATTTGTGTTATCAACCTAAAAACTGCAGCGCTACACCTGCCGTAGCCATGGTGACAACAGGCTGGAATAATGATAGTCTGACTCTGCCCTCTGAGGACCCGACAGACAGGACGGAGGAAGAGGAGGCGGGAGCCTTAAGGGTGTTAGTGAAGGAACAGAAAGAAGTGTTGAGACTCCATAGAGTGTGTCCTCGATCTGTCTTCAGCCAAAGAGAGTAGAACAAGGAGGGCTGGAAGACATAATCACTATAGCTGTGCAGTAAGTCAAGTAAGAAACAACATGTGACAACGCCACATAAGAAGAGCGCAAGATTTCGCACATGTGCCTGTACTTATCTATAACAGGACACCCCAGGTGCATTATTGTACTCGTACTGTAGTCCTCACGGTGGCTCCCTTTACAGACTTACCTACTTAATGCTAATCCCATGCAGTTCTAGGCAAAACATATGCAGTTTTTTTGCATGCAGTATAAATGTGATACTTTCACATATTCTAAAGATGGTGTACTTGAATATTTCTGCATAATGGGGTTCCATAAACATTCGTAAAATTGCATCGGAAAGCTGAGACTTTTGTGGATCCAATCGTATTCATGTGTGATGTAAATCTGTTAAGTGGCCATTTCATTGTATTGGGACCAATTTTGGAAACTTGATGTCACTAAAATGAAAGTGAGTAAATCAAGTGAGAGGGGAAAGCCGAGATAAAAAAAAAGATCAGCTAAACTATTTACTTTAACACATATATTGTTGTATTTAAATGACACTTCAAACATCTATATATGTCATCTTCTTAAGTAAATTCATTCCTGTATGTTTTTAACTTCATGAATCATGAGGATTATGATCGTGAGAATTTATTTCCCATCTGATTTCCCATTCCAGTTCAGGCATGCATTGCCAATAGTTAGGCTCACAAAACATGTGCACAGATAAGGAAGAGTATTTCACTTGCTCCTCTATGTATTGATGTCACAGAAAACGAAGAAGAGAAATCCTTGACTACAAACAACCGAGTCTTCTCCTCCCCTTCTCTCCTCATCTCCACCATCTGCTCCAAGCCGACCTTTCCAGATGCCAGAAGAGGTGGCTGCACACTTGTATAGTTATGCAAATGATATCATGCATATTCAAAATCATTAAATATTTAGAAACCTCTTAGGATATCGGAGGGGTACGTGGTTTTTGCACTGGGGATAGAAATATTTAGTCACCGGCAGAGGCACCTGCATGACTTGACCTTTACAGTAGGGAAACGAAGGATTGTTTTCCAGGTGTGAAATACAGAGAAAAGAGGGGGAATCAGAAAGAGAGTGATAGGAAGCCCCATGGGTACCGACACACATTCAGCTGAGAGTGACAGATATGATTCTAACGGAGGTGGTTTGTGGTACATTTATAAATCGAGGCAGCGGGGTTGATATTATCTCACCGCTGGTGACTCTGTGCCAATTACACTGAATGTCGGGCAAGTGATTATCCCCTCAGACCTCCCCGGTGCACTTGGCACCTTCCTGAAACTACACTGATAGACGGATTTGGAAAAACAATAGTTCCAGATCACCAAGAATATGGCGCAGTCTTGAGCAAAGGAGGCCAAATTTGATCACATGGCAAATACATCACAATGTTATTGAAATCTTTGAATTACATTTCAGTTTTGAATTGAGAAAGCATCACTCCCGAAGCAATACATCTCCTATTATTGATTTCTTAGGTTCCAAGGCTAAGTCTCAACGTGTCAGTGAGGGTTTTACTGTAGCTCGTTACCTTGAAAGTCTTGTCCATGGAGGCGGACAGCAGCAGATGACTGAGATGAGGCACAGGACACCATCGCACCGTGTTGACCGGACCCTGGTGGCCTGCCAGGCTAATCAGAAGCCTCCTCGGTATCCCCGAAGCGCCGGGCTTGTGGGCAAGATAGGGCTTCACTCTCGCCGACACATCTGAAAGAATTTGGCTTTCCCTGGTCACATTCCCTGGGACTTGCTCTGCTGGGTACTTTAGGTCCACTGTCCCTACTGAAGTGGCAAGTCTCTGTCTTTTAGGGACGTACGGTCTGACACCGGGCCGGACAGTGTGGTTTCTTTTTGCTGGGTTCAACCCATCGGCGGAACTTTGTGGCATGTTAGGAAGAGTCTGCGGTGGTGAGATGTGCCCCTGAGTCGCAGGTAAACTCAGAGGAGCGGCAGCATCTCTTAAATGCTTTTCTTGTGCTGTCCCGTCACGGCAATATTTGCTTTCCCAGTCAAACCAGCTCTGTGGCTGTGAATGTGGGTGTAGTAAAGAGCTGCTTCTTTTTCCATGATAGTCCAACACTGACCTGTCAGGGTCAGGTGTAAAACTACACAGCCTGACTTCTTGGTTTTGCTCACAAGATCCAGTTTGGATAGAGGCTGATATTACCTCCTCCGTTTGATCGAGACAATCATCCTCTGACTCTGAATCTTCGTATGCCACTAATGAAGACATGTTCACATGATGACACCCTGTTTGCAAATCTAGGGACAATAAAGGGACAACAGGTGAGGTATTCATTCATCCATTAAGAGGCATAAGGGTGACATCTGGTGGTGGTTTGAATTTCTGCACCTCAAAGTATACTCACTCAGAACAGCAGAAGTTAAAATGTACAAATGTTTTGATGGGAATGTATTGTCATTATTGGGGTGCAATTTGTAGCAGCCAACCACCTCAGTGCAGCAGCCAAGCAGACATGTTATTTTAAAGGGAAAGACAGAAAGATCATTTTCGGGATATCCACAATTTCGATCTAACAGTTAGCTAACGTTACGACTTTTAGTATTAACGTTAGTTAACGTTAACCGAGTTAACGTGCCTGGGTACAATACGCTGTTAACGCTAAATCCCAAAGTTTGCGTCTAACGCAGAGGTCTAACATGAATGTGTCTTAAATGCCACCAATGTAGCAAAATTAGCTAACATTGGTTGTTAGCCTTTCTGACTCCAAGGCTAATATAGCGTAAAGCTAACACGCAGTGAATCTGCCTTCAACTGTCGTGCCTGCAACATGGCTAAACAAAAGAATAACGGATTTCTGAGCATTACCGTGGTTAAAACAGTCAAAAATGAGGTCCAAAATCCCGCAAAATCATAAAGATTACGCAGCGTTTCGCAATAAAAGTAATGTTTCGAATCGTCCACTCATGTCTCAACATTCTTACTTGTAAAAGCTTTTATTTTGAAAGCTGCCGGTAGGAATCGAAGTGTCTGTCCTGCTCCGTGTTTTCCTCCGACATACACCGTACAGATTATATTTACAGTTAGTTTAACGCCTGGGTTTCGTATGAAATCAAGCTGACAAAATAAATAAAACCTAATGCGCATTTAACGCATCAAAAAAAGTAATTAATTAATAATGAATTAATAGCGGAACCATTGAAGAAGCGTGTTTGCCTGGGGAAGTATTTGACCCAAACACTACCGGGCTGATGCAAGTTGTATGAGCTGTCAGCTGTGTGTGAAGAATATACGGTATGCCGGCTTGTCACTTATTTAATCATAAATAACATTAGTCCCTCTATTATCGAATGTGATTTTAATGCTTTTATCATTTATGATATATGGAAGCTTGAGGTAAATGTAGAGGTAGACGATGAGCTAGCTCAGTAGCTTACCAAGTTAGCTGTGGTTCACATATGGGAAGATGTTCAACTACTGTGGCAGGAGATACAGTAATGCTTAAGCATTTAAGATAGATGCTATACAGAACATGTATCTTTCAGTTATATTATATATTTGCTGATTCCTTTTAACGTCTTTATTACTATTCAGTTACCTGGCCGGTGTAAAGAGGATGACGGACTGTCAAGGAGACGGTGAAGGAGCCAAGAGTCCAATGGAGCTCTACGAGAGTTTGGCATCACAAGGAGACGAAGTCAGGGCCTTGAAAACAGCTAAAGCAGAGAAAGTAGGTGGTTGTAATCCAATGTATAAAAACACTGTTGGTTTATTACACATGATATTCCATTCACCTACATTGTATAAGGGGGATAGAGAAATCTTGAGCTGAAGCCAAAAACTATCTGCATAGCTTTGTATTTTGGGTGAACTAACCCTTCAAAATATAATGAGAATATCTTTTACACTGCCACTTGATTCTGTTGTGCTGTAGCTGCTTTATCTGACAGTAGTGTTTTGGGTTCCTCAGGCTGAAGTCGATGCTGCTGTCCAGTTGCTGCTAAAGTTGAAAGTAGACTACAAACTGCTGACGGGTCAGGACTACAAAGCAGGCTCTCCGCCCTCAGAAACATCTGTGGCCCCCGAGAACGGGCCAGCAACAGATGGCGCTAATGATGACGACACAGTTGACCCGTGGAACGTCTCCACCAACAACGCCAAGGGAGTGGACTACGACAAACTCATAGGTAAGATTCAAGCGTCACACGAAGAGCTGGATTTCTATGGCAAATATATATTTAGTAATAATAGTAACTCTGATAAACATTTATGTCAGTGATGCATTTCCACCCATGTGTGATTTATGCTATACAACAGCAACACAGCTCACATTGTGTCATGTGTTTCCTTAGTGAGGTTTGGCAGCAGTAAAATTGACCAGGAGCTCGTGGACAGAATGGAAAAAGTCTCGGGACAGAAGCCTCATCGCTTTCTACGAAGAGGAATTTTCTTCTCACACAGGTCAGCATTTTAGGAACTGAAAATATGTCATCAGTGTCATATTTTCCTCATCCATTACTTTTTGTGTATGAAAATTTCACAAGTTATTGTGTGGCGTCAACATGAAATCCTCCACTCTGAACCTCTGTGACCTTTCATTCTAAGTAAAGCATTTGTCAGTGAGAGTTAACGGGGGAATGAGATGTCAATGTATCACTTTCCTCTGATCTCTGTTCCTGGCAGAGATATGCATCAGGTACTGGATGGGTATGAGAAGCACAAGTCCTTCTACCTTTACACTGGCAGAGGTCCGTCATCAGAGGCCATGCATGTTGGTCACCTCATCCCTTTCATCTTCACCAAGTGAGTTCTCCCTCTGTAATGTTTATTAATACCAAAGAGCTATTGAAGGCAGCATCTCAAAGTATCAAGTTGAGACCGAAACTTACTTCCTTGTTGCAGATGGTTGCAGGATGTATTTGACATTCCTCTGGTGATCCAGTTGACTGATGATGAGAAGTACCTGTGGAAGGATCTAACACTAGAAGATTGCCACCGCTTCGCTGTGGAAAATGCCAAGGACATCATTGCCTGTGGCTTCGATGTGAACAAAACCTTCATCTTCTCTGACCTCGACTACATGGGGTAACATATATTCCCACATGGCAGACCGTATGCTGAGGCTTCCTAGGATACATACGAGCAATGCCATATTTATTATTTGTTCACATAACTCCATATCATTTCTTAATCTAGTCAGAGTTTTGTTTTTTAAATGTGTTCATTTCATTTCACCTTCTGCAGTGCATCCCCTGCATTCTACAGAAATGTGGTGAAGATCCAGAAACATGTGACGTTCAACCAGGTCAAAGGCATCTTTGGCTTTACAGACAGCGACTGCATCGGTAAGGCATCTTAAACAACTGATGACTAAGACATACTTAATGATTAAAAAAAGATGGATCATTCTTTGATTGCTTTCATAGTCAGCCCAGCAGCTGAAACATTTACTAACGTTTTCCTTTTGATTTACAAAACATGTCGGTGTAATCCTGTGTTTGTGGTTTTGTTACATGATTTCCTGACCCTGAAGTGTAATTGTGTGATTACCTTGTTGATTATTTAATGGTGTTTATTATTTTCTAGGCAAGATCAGCTTCCCAGCCATCCAGGCAGCTCCATCGTTCAGTAGCTCTTTCCCACAGATCTTCAAAGGCAGAAAGGATATACAATGTCTCATCCCCTGTGCCATAGACCAGGTCAGGACAGCATTACAGTAAACGATGACAACACAATAGTGTCACATCTCACAATGACATGTGTCTGTATCTATCCTCTCGCTCATCCAGGACCCCTACTTCAGGATGACTCGTGATGTGGCTCCGAGGATCGGCTACCACAAACCAGCCCTGCTGCACTCAACCTTCTTCCCAGCCCTGCAGGGGGCGCAGACCAAGATGAGCGCCAGTGACGCCAACTCCTCCATCTTCCTCACTGACACACCCAAGCAGATTAAAAACAAGGTGCCGCTCTAACTAGTTATTGCCCATTCAAATTGACATTGCCTATAATTGCTTACTGACCAGTGTTATCGTTACTCACAGGTCAACAAACATGCATTTTCGGGAGGAAAAGACACAGTGGAGGAGCACAGGAAGTACGGTGGAAACCCGGATGTAGACGTCGCCTTCATGTACTTGACCTTCTTCTTGGAGGATGATGAACAGCTGGAGAAGATCAAACAGGTGAGGATGAGGACAGAGAAAACAAATTATACCTTCTAAACTTTATTTATTTTGCTAATCACGTTCTTTTCTTTGTTTTGCTTTCCTTAATCTCTCTACGACTTTGACACTCGTTCTGCTCTCTGCATTCTCCCTTCAACATCCTTTCTGCACACTCCCATTCCTTCAAACTTCCCTCTACAGGATTACACCAGTGGAGCTCTGCTAACGGGAGAACTGAAGAAGCTTTTGATTGAGACACTGCAACCAATGATTACACAGCACCAAGAGCAACGCAAACAAGTCACAGAGGAGACAGTCAAGCAGTTCATGACACCCAGGCCTTTAAATTTTAACTTCTAGCCTCCTTGAGCAACTGAGATGTCAAGGTTCATCATGTCTCTAATCTCTGTGCAAGAGCAAATGATTATCCATCTTTTTCAATTTAACTTAAAACGAGAAGACAGACATTTTGCATCAGGACTGGAGAAAAATGTAAATGACTGGAGCAACGGTGTGCTTCTCTGTGTCAAACTAAGCATTGCATTACCCTCACCTTCATGCTGTGTGTTAGCTTTTCTCTGCGCTACATGCACACATCTATTCTCATGAAGTGTTCGTGGCTGCAGCGCTGCTGTAATGTCACATGAGCCCTACTCCAAACCCGGAAAACCGTTCAGGACGAATGAAAATTAAAGAGTACAAATGTACATTGTTGCAAAATCTGCTTACAACACAGCCACACATTCACCTTTTAAAAACGTTAGTCGAGAAGTCTTATTTTACTTGAGGAAAAATAGCCTCTAAACAAGAACTGTCACTTTGTAATAAACAGAAGCAGATGTGTGGTAAGAGATAGGCGCAGTATGATAATAGGGGATATATTATGAGACGTTAATCTCTGAAGAGTTTGAGCACGTCAATAAGGAGGCTATCTGTGTAAAATGTATTTCTCATCAGCGAAAGGGAGTTGACTCAAGGTAACTCTTTCGCTAAGCATGGTCTACGTGAAGAGGTTATGCATCGACTAAAAAATAAACTCTACTTGAACAACCAAAAACCTATCTTTTAGGGTTACACAGCCTTTTTCATTTCACAGCAGACATTTTAAAATGTCACAGTAAATGCATAATTGATGATGGCTCCATTTAAGTCCATTAGTTTCAGGGTCCTAGTATTGTACGTGCTTCGCACTGCCATGGCTTACTGGGACACTTAAATAGAACGGAGCCATCATTCATGTTATTAGTAACACCTGTGCTTCTCCTGCCATGACAAGTCAAAATGTCTGCTGTAAACATGCCTGTTGTCATAGAAGTGATTTGAACAATGAATGCATATTACATTGCATATTACATGATATAATGTTCCTTTAAGGGCCAGGTCTTTCATTCAAATGTAATTTGAATATAGCCCTAATTTATAAGAAAACAATATGAAGTTCCTGAAATGATAAAATGGCGGCCAAGTGTCTGAGAGCACAAGACAAACTGTCAGTGAACTGTATATATCAGTAACATGGAGGGGGGTGCAAGACGTTGCAATTAAAAATGAACCGCTATAATACAGAAAAAACATTTTTTATAGACATAAGATTAAAAAATAATTAAGATAACAAATGTGTTTATGAGTACAGCATATTTTTACTGGCTGCCTGACTCTGTTCTCAAGTGTGGGAGTAATCCTCAACTTTGTCACAGTATAAACACTGAGGGGGGAAATGGAAAATTGTAAACAAATATGTATACGTATAACACAGTGAAAAGATTGATGTTTTACAACTCTCCAAAAATTCACAATTCACTTTAAATTGGTACTAAAGGTACCTGAAGACCGCTGCAGAAACACTGTCAGCTTCAGTTGTAAACTCCACATCTACAGCCACAGAATATGTTCTATAGAAAAACAATTCAGCCGTCTTAAATACATACTTTATACATAACAATTGAAAAAGGAAAATCCTTCATAATGGCATTATTAAAAACCTTCAGTATCATTTTTTCCACGTGTCCCCCTGTCAGACTATGAGAGAATTACCTTAATCAAAGGTGAAAATGAAGACCAAATTGTGAGTCATCCAAAGTAATTATTAACACGGAAGAGAAAGAAAAGCTACAGGTATGTTGAGTGTTTACAAAGGCACATCACTGTTTCATACAGGGAGGAGACATGTTGACTGAAGGCTGAGAGTAGGGCCCTTTGAGAAGGCACCGAGTCGCTCAGATGGTATTTTTTGTGTGATACAGTGAAAAAAGCCTCGGTATGCGCTGCACAAACCAGGCCATCTGGAGACGAGCTTTGATTGAGTCCAGGGGTGTGCCAAATTACCTGACAAACCTGCCAGAAGCACCACTTTCTGTATGAAGAGGAGACATTTGAATATGTTTCAAATTACACGATAAAAACTGTACATTTTGAGAAGGCAACCCACTCACACTGCTGACACCTTTTCCCCATGTCAGCTGGAGACAGCAATACAACCTGAAGAACAGAAATGAAGGTATTGAAGTAATTGACAAACAGAAATATGAACTGACATTTTAAACTATGACAAGTCAGCACAACAATGCAATTCTACGTTATTCTAGGATGAAGACTACAATGACACTGGACAGGTTTCGTCTGGATATGTTTTTGCCTCTTTGCTTTGGTTGTTTTGTGTGTTGTATCCTCCAATCATTTGGATGCATGTAAAAGCATTTGAAGACTTTTTGAGACGTGCTTCAAAACAAAAAAAGCTTTCAGGGACGCTGCAGTGCTATGATTGCCCACTTTGCTTAGCCGGTAATCCATCTTTAATTCGATTAGTTCATATTTTGTGTCCCCATAGATTATATGGGGGAAAAGTATGCTTTACAACCAGTACAATATACAGACTATGTGGTGAAAATGACTACAGAGATAAATCGCTAAGTGGTGGAAGAAGTAGTCAGTCAGTCAGTAATAATACCACAGAGTAAAATACTCAGTCGTGCATTCAAAATCTTACTTCAGTACAAGCACAAGGTATCAGCATCAAAATATACTTAAAGTGTCAAAACAAGGAATACTCATTATGCCGAATGGCCCATTTCAGAATAATATATTATCTTTTAATGGATTCTAGTTAGTGATGCATTAGTGTGTTAGCACTAATGTTGCAGCTGGTAAAGGTGGGGCTACTCTACTTGATGTACTGCCTGGTGGTATCTCTATCCATATATTACATCATCATTTATGAGTTGATTAAATAGTTTATATTAATATTCTGAATCTGCAAAATTGTCAAAAATAATCCCCATTTGGCTTCATAAAGTAGCATAAAATAGAAATACTTAAGTGAAGTAGAATTACTTCATACATGAACAGTACTTGAGTAAATGTACGTACTTTCCACAACTGTTTGCAGGCCCGTTGTGTTGTATTTCACCACACTTCTAGTTTAGTTTGAGTACACTATTCATAGCTCCCCTGTCACTCTGTTACAGTGTCCCAGTTGGACGCTCGCACATGCTGATGACGACCTCCATGATAACACTGTTGATTTTGAAGGTGCGGAGGATCAGCAGCGATGGTTTCTAACAAGCCTCTGCGGTTCTGAGGCTCTGCCCGGCAGCAGCCAATGGGTGCGAGGGGCGGACAGACCCGGCTAGGGGAGTTGTCTACTTCCAAGTAATCCGATTGGGTTTCCTTTAAATAAGTGCATACACGTTTCTTCTTCTCTACTTTGAACCAGTGCCGCCTCCTCCTTCCTCCTGCGGTACATATATAGAAAGTTTTGGCAGTAAAGGCCACTTAAAATAGTGAGCGTGTGCGGAGACATCGGCAAAATAAACCTGTCACAGTTTCAACCACGCTCCGAGTGGTTATCATTTAGCCGGAGCAAATCTTCCGCTTTGCTCAGTATCAGAAACCCAACAGAGGAGATTGCTAAACGCTAACCAAGCTTGGCTTGAACACCAAGCCTGAGCTTGTAAAAGTGCAGACTTTTTTTCCGGGGAGATTTATAACAAAAGTACCCACTAAATAGCTTGTGAATTACGTCTGTCAGCCACCAAGTTAGCTTGACACATTTCCACCGTTAGATTTCTTTAAAGGAATGGCATTGGACTTCGCTGCGGGCTGTATAGGAGGTAAGTAACCGTGAATGAGCCGGTACTGATGTTAGCTTGCCAAGCTAACGAGCTGAAACTAGCGTTAGCATTAGCCAGCTTTCAGTGTGTCTCTCGTCAAGGAGCGCGTGGACCGCTCACACTGCGTGGTGATTTGTCCCCAGCTGCCACGTCCGAGAAACAATACACAAACAAACTACAATTAAGAGACTCAAAATCCAAGTTGTTTTTTTTTGGTTTCTCTGAACTTATATGGAAATCCCGGGTGTAGGTTAACGTTAGGAAATGACATTCCGAACCGATAACTCGCAGGTAGGGTGTGGTGTTTATGTGCTCGTGTGCATTAAAGCCCGAATGAAGAAAGTACAGTGTATTAGGGTATGGCATCATCTGTTCTCGTGCTTATTCATCATCAGATAGACCATTCTACATGATGATGGGGCTACTTTAAGTTAATGCCTTCCTGTTTGAATGGAGGTAACTCAGCCCAATGTCTCCAGTGCATTCTCACCATAAAGCCCTGGGAATCTAGTCAGCTGTGTTGTCTTTTCCCCCCCCAAGGACAGGTCTTCCCCAAAACTACCCCAGATAGTCTCACTTTAGAGCTGGTGAGATAAGAGTGTTGTCCAGAAAAGCCAGATGTAAGGTACTTTATGTAGAGATACTAGTACCTGAAATAAAGGGATATTTGTGCTCCTCACAGTCATATATGATCCCCTAAAGCTACGCCCACATTTCTGTAGACTTATTTGGTTTATTCACTGATTCAGACATGTCCTGTCCTGTACTCCTATCCCAATGCAAGCTGGTCATACCTTAGTAATAACAGGTGTGTGCATGATTTGTAACCAGACCCTCAAAACAAGTACATTATAATTGCAATACACTATTTGTAGTGTTTATGATCAGCATTATAAAGGTGTCACATTTGAGGATTAGATACCTCTGATGAGTGAATACCTCTCTTGGCTAATATGTCCTGATATGACATGGTCACAAGTGACTGTATAATGGATTTGTTGCTTAGTCAAGGACAGGGCACCGTCGAGCTTTCGACACCGATACAATGCAGTGATTACTCTACTCAGGCTGTTTGCAGTTGAGAGATGAGCCGCAAGATTATTGTGCCATTTTCTAAAAATACAAAGTTTCATAATTCGTATGATTTTAAAAACATTCTCTGTTTTTTTTCAGGGGCAGCTGGTGTTTTGGTTGGACATCCATTTGACACTGTGAAGGTGAGTGTCTGCTCCGTCTTCTTCACTATTTGCTCATGTTGGGCAATGGTAGGATCCAGTACTTTGCTGTTATGGTGTTGTAAATCAGACCACTCTGAATATGAACCCAGATAATCTGAAGTTACACAGTCATCCTGCAATACACTGAGATACTTGAGCAATGGGATCTTAGATGACTGTAGGGCTGTTATTATTATTGAAATACTTGTGTTTTATCTGATGCAGATTGTGTTTTTAATATAACAACCAAGTTCTGTGTATACTATAAAGTATTGTTCTGAACTTCAGAACAAGAACATACACTCATTCCCCCTTAAAATAAAATAGTCATTCATCAGCGGCTATTTGGGGACATTTGCTTCTGTTTCTGGCATTTTGCTGAATAACTCTGGTGCTCTCTTATCCTTTACAGTCATTGTTTTCAACTAACCTCACGGTCACATGAAGTTTTGTAATCACTGTCGTTAGTAGACTTACTCATTTTTGGCTTGAAGCTACTCGTTAAGGTCAATTAAATGGCAAAATAATCATTAGTGTGGTTTTCTGACCTCCCATTTTACCATTTCTGTAAAAGTTAACTTTGAATTACAATGAATACATTGTTGTCATTCACATTATTTGTTTGAGGCCTGACAAGGAAGGCTTAAATAGAGCACACGATTGTTTGAAATTGCAGCATCCAGAGGCATACAGAGGTGGTCAATTGTTTGGTTGTAGCTCTTTTATACCTTGCTTTCAATGTCATTTCTCCCTGAGCTTGTGTCTTGGGGAGGCTGTCTTAACAGCAACAGTGTCACTGTGTTGTAGATGAGAGAGAGAAATAAACAACCTCTCGATGGAAATGTGACCTAGTAAGTATGGTCGAGGTCTTTCTTTGTTTTCTTTCACTCAATGTCTTGTCTTGCTCTGTAGAAATATAAAGCACAGAAGATATTTTAGTTTCTCATACAACTTCATTCTCGGTTCATTTTTTCCCCTCGTATGTTGCACCCTTTAATATATTTATTTTACCCTCAAAGAACCATTTCAAAGCTCTGCCTGCTTGTTTCCCGTTGACTCCGTGTTACAGTATGTGGCTTGTAGTTGTTGTGGCCCTGTTGACGGCCATGTTACTTTATCACATGACTAACATGACGGCTGTCATCCACAGGTGAGGCTTCAAGTTCAAAATGTGGACAGACCTCTGTACCGCGGGACATATCACTGCTTCCAGTCAATCATACGCCAAGAGTCGGTAAGTTTGTTGTAAATGTGTCTCTTAATGTTTTTTACTAGTTTGTATATTCTCCGTCATGGCTGTTTTAGATAATGTGCATGTCTTTCACCGTGTGCTGCCGACTGTGCCACGGTTGAGAATTGTCACCGCTCTTTTCAAAGTGTCCAGTTACAGTCCCATCTCCAGACACGCATCAGCCCATGGTCAGCCAGCATGTTGCTAACATGGGGTGTAAGGGCTGGGGGGGGGGGGGTGTCAGTGAGGATCTTTTTTCTGCATGGGCTAAATAAAGCTTTGCACATCATGCCATTTAAGCTAAGTGTATGCTGGGTCTCGGTGAACGTCTTGTGGCTGTTTTCACATGGAGGCATTGGATTGTATTTCTACTACAGTACATTATGCAAATCTTAAGTTGTTCTCAGCAATTTGTTCCCACACATTCATATATGTGGACATTCATTTACAAAACCAAATCAATCTGATGATCTGTTTTCATTGTCCTTGACCTGTCGACGTCCTTTATTCTGCTGTGTGTGTGTGTACCTAGCAGCTGAAGGTTTTGAGGACACATCAACACAGCTGCCAGCTTGTCACTGACACTGGCTGTCGCTGCTCCTATCTGAAAATGTATTCTTTCGGTTTGCTACACCACATTATAAATTCTTACGAGCTTAATTAGTTAGACTTGCGTGCAGAAATGATCATATAATCTTCACAGCTGCTGGGCTCTGTAGAGATTCTGATGTCCCAGTAATCTGTCTCTGTGTCTGTAGATGCTCGGTCTGTACAAAGGCATCGGCTCTCCAATGATGGGCCTCACCTTCATCAATGCCATAGTTTTTGGGGTCCAGGGCAACGCCATGCGCAAGCTTGGCCGCGACACGCCCCTCAACCAGTTCCTGGCCGGAGCCTCGGCAGGCACCATCCAGTGTGTCATCTGCTGCCCGATGGAGCTGGCGAAGACGCGCATGCAGCTGCAAGGGACCGGAGAGAAGAAGTCGAAGAGGAAGCTGTATAAGAACTCCTTGGACTGTCTGGTGAGAATCTACAACAAGGAGGGGATCCGAGGTATCAATCGCGGCATGGTGACCACCCTGCTGCGCGAGACACCCGGTTTCGGTGTGTACTTTCTCGCTTACGACACGTGGACACGTTACCTCGGCTGCGAGCCGGAGGATCCTTACATGATCCTCAAGTTGCTGTTTGCCGGTGGGATGTCCGGCATCGCTTCCTGGATCTCCACCTATCCCGTGGACGTGATCAAGTCGCGCCTCCAGGCGGACGGGGTGGGCGGCGTTCACCAGTACAGCGGCATCATGGACTGTGTCAGGCAGAGCTTAAAGAAAGAGGGGTGGAGGGTGTTCACGCGGGGACTCACGTCCACTTTGCTCCGCGCATTTCCAGTGAATGCGACCACGTTTGCCACCGTGACTCTATTTTTACTGTACATGCGCGAGGGAGAGGAGTGTAGCATTCAGGACTCTGAGCCGCCATCAGTCCAGCTGCAGCCTCTGCAGCCCCAGACACAGCCAACCAGCATGTGAGCTGCAGAGAGCATGACTACAGTCATCAGCAAGTCTATATAGCGTTTCTCTAGAGGGAAGCTGCAGCTTAATGCAGGTCTATGATCTGTTCACTGGTGTCAATTATGAGAGAGGTGAACTGATCCGAGGTAAGCCCATGGAGCTACAGCCAAGTGACCCCGTGCATTATTTAAATAATATATTTTAAGATGAAGGTTGCATTTGTAAATATAGTATGGCTAATAGTCCTTGGTTTTTCTACACATTTTGAGTTTTAAGTAATTTAGGAAACTTACAATTGTCACTGATTACAGTAGTTACAGATGTTCGTAAAAGTGAGACCGTCTTTAATGCTGTGTTCAAGTCATAGTGTGTTAACCGTTCTCCACTATAAGACATTAAGACATGCCTAAACGTGGTTATTACCAAAAATAGTCTACAAAGTTTAGCATGTTTGTGAACATGAATGCGTTTAATACTGTTACATTTTGCAAACTTCAATCGGTAAAATTAATGTGATTTTCAATTTACAATTAAATAATTTTAAGTGGTTAACCAATCAATTATGTTACCTCCATGATATCCAGGTCAAGTCCACCCCCACATAGTGTGAACGCATCATCTTTTCACAATGGTTACAGAGACAAAAAGCGTTTTACCTCTAAATATTATTTTTCTGAGGTTATAATTGTGTATGTAGTTCAACTTTCCTCTGAGAAGTCATAAGAATTTGAGCCAAAGTCTTGATGCTGTTTAAAGTTTTAATTGGTGGAAATATTACAGGCTCCGCTTTGGCCTGTTGCAGTATGACAAACGCAGATACAAAGGCATGTGTGATCATTTAATTTAAAGAATGGAATTATTTGATACAATCATTGTCCATTGGCCATTATGCCGTTTTTAAATCTTTTTATCGTGGACAGTGTCCAAAGAAAGCACCTTATGGTATTGTGAGTACATGCACAGTTAGAAACCATTTTCTGCCATCACATTGTCCACTTTGCAATAGATTTTTCATTTTGTATTTCCAAGTAGTGCAAGATTCTGTTGGCTGCTGATGGCTGGTTAAAAGTGGGCTTTTAAACAATCTAAATGTAATTTTAAAACTTGTGCCTCTTGTTTGCACATGTCGGGCTCCGCCTCCTCCTCAAGGTGGAGGTGTGGTTTTGTCAGAAAGGTTCTGTGCACTAGCCTGCGCCACCTAGAGGCAGAGGACGGAATGGGTCCGGCAATTTGAACACTTTTCAGCTGCAGGTTTAGCATTGTGTAGCTGCTGTTTGCGAGTTTAAGACGGCACATTATTACTTCTGTCATTTATGCACCTGTGATAACATTCTCAGACGCTTGACCATCAGACCACACAAGTGTTATGAGAATAAGTCACTGGACAGCTGTGTCCCTCAATACTAACCAGGATAGTCATTATAGGACGGGGGGACACAGTGTGAACTAGAGGAATTTGACCTCAGTACTTTACTCACTGAACTGCTGCCCGAGTTCACTGACGCTTTACATTTTCCAGGTTTGAAGTGTAAACTATAACAAATCTAACAGTGAAACTGCGGTCGTGCAAAAAAAAAAATTTCCTTGGTAAACCTACTTGCAAGTGACGAGTATTCAAATTGCTGCCGCTATTACTTTCCTTCCACACATTTTCTTGCTGCTGTTTCTTATTAAAGAGTGGCGGATGTTTGGCTGGTCTGAAAGAGCTTTGGGGTTGTCCAATGACATAATGTTGTACATACTGTGAATTTGTTTTTTTTTTTTTTCTTCATATCCTCTCTAGTTACAATCCTGTATATTTTTTTTTGGTTTCAAGATTTTAGTTCTCTTTTGTCTCGAGTTGTCTGAACGGGTGGATTATGCACGATTGTTGACATCTTTGTAAAAGGGCTGATTTTACCGTCTACTGTTGCCTTCATGTTCTGTGCTCGTTTGTATACAATATCTCGCACCAAAGCAGCATGCACACTATGTAGTACTCTGAGAGAAAGGTGAAATAAAAATCATTGTTTTCTGAAATACGGTTCTTGCTGCAGATCAACTATTCCCACAATATCTTCTGAGAATGGACGGATGTGTTAAGTGACCGTTAAAGAAATGAAAGACTATCTAGTGGTGACAGACGGTATCACAGGTTCTACTTACTGTACACACAAATACTTTGACAGTAATGTATAAATAGCACTTTTTATTCAAGACATTTGATATATGTATACATGATTTGGCAAAAATAAGTTATTCAAGTATCAAATATTGATTATGATCACAGTATTGCCTCAACTTAGATTAGTGTTTTGAAACACTTTTCACCCAAATTATGACAAAAATACTGCATGAAACAAATCCTATGCCTTATATCAAGACACCCATTGTATTATATAACAAACAAGTTGAGTTGTGTGGTGTTTCCCTTTCAACTTGTGCAAGAAGGTTGGATTATTATCCCGAGGCACTTCAGATAGATCAGTTACTGTACACATGTACCTGTCATCCTCTGGTCCCTGGTGAGAGTGAAAACAAAGAAGGGCAACAAAAATAAGGGCGAAGAAAGACAAAGTAGTGGACAAATAACGGAAGAGGAATAGATTTCAGATTGTTTTTCTCCTCCGCGCCACTAGTTGTTTTTTCCTGCTTTTGATGTGTTCAAGAAGGAGTCGCAGGAGTAGCGCAGGAAGCGGTAGATCTCCTCGGCTCTGGACCGACTCATACAGCCTCCCTTTTGTATGGCTTCAATGGAGCTGTGGGAGGAACAGAAGAAGACAGGAGGAGACGTTGTACTGTGTGAACTGTTCTTTTGCCACAACACATCGCGCACACACGCACGTCCTTTACCTGTTGATGAGTTGGCCAATAGACCTGAAGTTGTGGCTCATGCTGAGGGCCTGGATGTAGTTGACTGAGGGCAGGCTCAAGTAGAGCTGCAGAGCCTGCTGCCTGTGCTGCCCTATGACCTCCATCGGTACGGCGATGCCCTGACCTTTACGCTGCTCCAGCCGTGCCAGGTCTGCCAGCAAGCCGGCGCTCTGTTCGGCGCCATCGCTCCACAGCAAGCGCATCCCGGTGCGCACCAGCGCCGTCAAAGTGCTGTCATAGTAGCGTGTTCGCTGAAACGGACGGGACGCCTCGCCTGTGACGGCGACAATTATAAAGAACTGAAACATATGCGATACCTCAAAGTAAATCAAATTGCTGTGCAAGCTACCAAACCTTCCTGTAATCAAAATACACAATACCCATATTAAGTCATCAAATCAGCAGTCCCTCCCTACTGACCTGGCTTGGTTCGGTCCTTCTCCACTATCAGACAAACGCGCTCAAACAACCCCTGCAAGCTGTTCACTCTTTCAGCCAGTCGCTTGCGGTTCTGCATCGCCGCCAAGTCCGACTGGCTGTGCCTCTCCACCGCCGTGCGGTTGCTGACGATGAAGTAGCTGCCGTCCAGCGAGCAGACGTGGACGGTGGCTGCGTGGCGCTGACGGAGGCTGGTCATCAGCTCCACCCCGCTACTGAGGCAGCGACTGTCCACCAGAATGCAAACAGGGGCAGGGGGCTCGCTGACTGATGATGGACCCTGTGCGGTGGACGTCTGTGGAACTGAGGAGGTGGCAAGAGGTGCCTGGAAGAAAACCTCAATGAAGTCAACATCTTTGTATGTTTTAGTGACCATGTTTAACAACACACACACACACCGTAGGACAAGTGTGTATCTGTACCATCTTTGCTCGTACCTGGGGTTGTTTCTTGGAGGATAACAGCAACTCTGTCTCTATAAAGTCCAGCTCATCAGAGAGCAAATGCTGATTTTCTATCCTTTGACAACACCTGTAAGATAAAAGAAGATTCATCAACCACTCCAGTAGTTGATGAATGTTTATGTGCTACCATATGAGAATCTCTTTTACCTTTCCTTTTGCCGGTCCTCACTCACTGAGCACCTCTGTGCCTTGCTCAGTACTGAGACCTTGGATGCTGCGGTTGAAGACGAGGAGGAGGAGGAGGGGGGTTTCTGCAGTACTGCCTTTGGCCACAGAGGGACAGCAACATCCGCTTCTGTTGTGAGACTTCTCTTTTTACCAACTTCCTCCGTCTCCTCCTCACTAGAATCCTCAAGGCGTATAACACGGACGCGCTTTGTTTTCAGCCCAGCTTTCTGCTCTGGTGGAGCTCCAGCTGTAAGCTTGGCGCCGGCGCCTGCTCTTGCTCTGTGCAGGAATACACGCCGTCTGGTGGCGTACTGCCTCCGCCCCTCCACATATGATTCCTCGGGCATAAGTTCAACGTCTTCAGCGTCGTCCGCGCTGCTCTCCACCTCCTCCACCTCATTTCCCACCACAAAGCTGTCCTCTGCATACGTTTCATCCATCTCAGGCACCTGGAGTCAATAATAAGACCAGAAGGTAACTTAACTGCCTTGTATTTGGTTTCTTTGTAAGTCATATTATCATTGAGTAAAGAAAATATAATATACAGTATACCTGAGAAAATATGTCCATGTTGTGATGATTTCTGTAGGACATTTTGAACTTTCCCTGGACTGCAGGGCTTTTCACTGACTTCAGGTAAACGCCCTGCATCTCTGAGTCTGCCATAGAGGGGAACAAAAAAAGCCTCAATGTTATGGTACAATTCCTTCCGCTCACTTTAGGGAATTCGATTTAAAATATAATCCACTGAGGGTACAATGGAATCATATTTCTTGGACTAAACATGGCGCCGTACCATTCAGTCCCTGTGAGAAGTGTGTGTTGTCGACCACAAAGCCTTCAAGAGAGCGGTCCTGTTCTTCTCCATCCTCTTCATCAGACGACACGTCGCCCCCCCCCCTCCCCCGACAGCTCTGCTTCTTCGTCCAGGAAATGGCGGCCTTTTCGACGTTTGGGATGCTGAGAAAGAAACAGTGGATAATGTCAAGTTTGACAGATGCTACATGTGTCTGAGTGATATTTATAGACGTGACATTTTCATGGAGGGAGGAAAGGTGTCATTTTTGGGCAAAAACTGGTCTGAAATATGTTATGGTTGTATTTTTTGGAGCTAAATAACCAGACACTTCCCTCAGGAGTTTGTGGAGACCAAAAACAAAGTAAATATTTGACTAATATTCATCAGAAATACATTCGCACACTAAAAATGATATACAGTACATTCACGTTTCTGCACTTAAGGTAACATGCATTCTAATTTTTCCAGCAACCAGAAACAAACACGCCACCAGAGCTGTGTTTGCATCAACACCGGTGCCATTCATTGCCTGCAGTGACAAGAAAACATGACGAATAAATGATACGATTCAGATGACAGCGTTCTGCAGAGACCATCTGTCACACAAACCTTGGCTTGGCCTTGTTGGACGCTTTTCCTCTCGGCTCCGGGTGCTGTGCTTCTGCGTGTGACAACGGACTCCTTCTGGAAATCATCATCAGAAACAGCTTCACCCTCCATTTCATCCGACTGGAGACCATAGCGAGGAGAACAAAAGAGTCAAATAATGTGAAATGCTTTATGAAGCTGCATATTCATCAAAACCATTTAGGAAATGAGTGTAAGTAATGCATGGAGCGAAATCATTTAAATCACATTGACTGTGCGGAACAGGTTGAACCATGTGGCTTTAATCGCTGCTAATGAAGTAAATCTTACGGTATTAAGTGCAGCTGCGCGTTTCCTCTTCACAACCACCGGGGAGTCCACGTCGCTGCACGTCTTAGACTAGCGGAGACAAAACCGGTCACACATCACTCGTAAACAGTAGGTACGTGGTTTCTCATCTAAATTTATTAAGATATGTTTTTGACATTTCAAGAGCCGCAAATGCTTCTTCGCTGCTTGCAGGCTCATTGCCATGACAACTGCAGGTACCTCGGAGGTGATGGACAGCCGGAGTCGTCTGAGTCAGACGTCTCCTGCATTAGTCCTTGTTTTTCCGCCACAACACAGAGGTTGACGTTTTTTTGTATTTACTTGGTATTTGTATTCTATATACAAAAAGGTTCAAATTCAAGTGACTATCTTTTTATCTCATTAATCTTATGAAAAGAAAAAGAGAATTTACATAAATCGGAGGTGCAACTCTCCGACCAACTGTCTTAAATAAACTGAATATATTTGGGCTGTTGGTCAGGACACATTTTCACAATATCCTTTAGACCAAATGATTAATCTAGAAAACAATCGTCATATTAGTAACATAATACAAATCAGTTGCAGTTCTAATATCGACAGGCCTTGCTCACCACGTCCGGGGACGACAAGGGTTTGACTTTATTCTGATGTTTTCTTTTATGAACCACGACCTCATCCTCACTGTCACTGGTGCGTTCCACTAAGACAGAAGGTGAAACATTCAGAAATCTCTACAGCAGGACAAATGATACCAGTATAAAGATGTTTTAAGGTTAGGAATCATATTTTTTGAAAAGGTAAACAAACCTGGATGAGGAATGTTAGGGTTCTCCTCCGGTCGTCTCTGCTTTAAGCTGGGGACCAAAGACGGAGTGCGAGGCCCGGTGAAGCTGGGCATTAGGATCCGCCTGACTCCTGGTGACGTGATGGGAGATGGGAGTGCACCACCTGTAGAAGGCGAAGCTAGAAGAGACGACATATCTGTCCTCCTGTGCTCTGAAAGCATCTCTGGGGTAAATATCGTGGCTTCACTGGACTGTGGAGGCATTCTCTGTCTGAGGAAGCCGTTATAGGGAGTGGAAGAGTTTGAGACGACCGGCAAAGGCGCAGTAGGGTCAGCCAGCTTCTTCGGCTGTGCAGAGGTCGATATACGTGGGGCGGGAACAGCCTCTTCTTCCGCTTCGTCAGAGTCCTCCAGTGAATAGCCGAGGTCAAAGTTGACAGAGTAGTAGACATGGGAGCCGTCAAATGAGGGAGATTTACATGGAGCTGTGATTACCTTGTCTGTCATTGAATTGTCTGGTACAGATTTACTTGGTGCTGCTGTGTGTGGTGTGGTGCTGGGGGTGTTTGGAGTGTGAGTTCTGTGCTTTGTGTGTGCGGTGTTTAATCTGCGCGTGCTTTCAGCTGCGTGCGTAGTGCGACACAGGTTTGTTGGGGTAAATGTGTGTGAAGCGTTAGACGTCTTTGTTGTGCTATTAGCAATGTCTCCGGATGTGTTGGGCGTGACGCCAGGAGTGGAGATGTCTGGGATGGTCATCTGCAGGAAGGCCTCGTCATCCCCAAACAGATCCATGCTCTCGTCCATCTGAGCTCTGCACTGAAAGTCATCTTTCACACCACCACCACGTGTTAAGTCGGGCATTTCCTCGTTCCTCACATCATCCCAACTCTTTTTGTCCTCCGTCGTGCCATCGTTCTTAATATTTATTCCCTTGTACTTCTCAGCTTCATCACCAGCCCCTTCCTCCTTGTAAATCTCATCAACTGTCTCCGTGCGGTTATCCCGTACATCCTGTTTATCATTCATTTCCTCTTCCCCAAAAACTTCATCCCAGGTCGGACTGTTTGCCGCCACGCCGCTCCTGCAGGCACTCTGCTGCTGCTGCTGCTCCTGACGAGGCCGATGACGATACGGTTTACTGTCCTCTTTATCAACTGGAGGCTCGTCGGAGTCCGCCCTCAGGGGGGCATCGTCAGCGTCCCTCATCGTCACTTCATCGTCATTGTCGTCCACATCCAGGGCAAAGCTGATCTGGAATGGCAGATGAGGCCGCTGAGGAGAGGGAGAAAGTGATGGAGCAGCCATGTCAGCCACTAAATCTAAAGCTGGCGGAGATCGGGACAGGAGCTCCGCCACGTTGGCCAGGATGAGCTTCAGACTCTGGTCTCTTCCTGGGAGTTTAGCAAAGGAAAGAGGAGGCGCTGAATCCCATTTAGGAAGGTAAAACATGGCCTGAAGTTCGACATCTTCATCTTCGTCAATCCTTGTAATCAACTGTGAAGTTTTGTCATAATTTACAGCCTCACCAACCGTGGAATCTGGCTTTATGAAATCCTCGTTAATAATGGCACAGTCATCATCCATGCCAGCTTCGGGACAGTCATTGTTTGAGGGAAGAGGACACATTGGTCCTGGGTGATCCGTGATGTCATCATAAGCCTCCTCAGTATCATGGGCAACAAGAAGTCTCTGTTTTGTCACAGCGAGTGTGGAAACTGTGGTCTTTCCTCGTGTATCTTCCCAATCTCCTTCGCCGTCGAAGTGTTCCAGATCGGGCAACGTAGAGTGAGACGGTCTGGCTTTGTTTTTGGTCGTTTTAGTGCCGGTCTTTGTGCCCTTCTGCTTCTTCTGACCTTTCTTCACGTGGCCAACAGCATCCGCTTTGTGGCGGTAAGGGAGAAGCTCCTGTTCATAACGACACTCCCCCTGAACACACACACACACACACACACACACACACAATAAATGTAAGAAATATCCCTCAGCAGGAAAACCAAGGTCAGGGAGCTGTAATCAGCCTCTGGACTTGCCAACCCTTTTACGACACATGTGACACAAGGCAGTTCACCAAACAAACAGCGTGTCGGTTAATGCTCATACAGTAAACTAATCAGGAAGTGTCCTATGAAGAGTTGTCACATTGGAGCAACACATGGAGCACATGCAAAAAAGTCTGATGTAACGTCTCATATTTATTTGTTTTGCTGACAAACACGGCAACATATTGTTGCAATTTAGACATTGTTCCCCAAGTTGATCATTTAAAAAGAATAATCCACTAAGAATCTGCCCAAAATGAAGACTTCCTCCCATTCTCTTCCATCTCTTCCTTGTTGTATCTTAAGCACACGTGCACACATCCTAATCATCCAGCACCTGTCACCTTTGCAAGCCACATGACCTGGAAGTGATTCATCTAGAGTGGTACCCTGCTTGGGCCGACGGGGTGCAATCGCACCTGTGACCAGCAGGACGAAGATGCTCATTGAACAGATAAGCAAGAACAAGCTGCTGAATGTAGAGCGAGAGGGAGGGAAGGAGTCGTGTATGGAGATCAAAATACTGCTTTTGCCGATAAAGAAGGCAATACAACTAGATTTGAGTAGACTGTATTAAATAAAGCTTCACACTCAATAGAGTGGTCAGGTCGTGCCTCATCCGCAGTGGTTGCAAACACACTCGTCTAAAGACAGCGTTTGAGATGTTCATCTCCCACAGAAAGATACACGGTGGCAGTAAGCCATTATACGGGCTGTAGATCATTTAGATTGGCAATAACCCACTAACGTCATTGCAATATTTACTGTGAAAAGCAAATAAAAGAATAATGAACACCTGAACAATTATTTCTTCACACCATGTGTTACCGCCCTCCTTTATTTAGACAAATCCAAATCTATACTTTTTGACCATGTAAATTGACACAGAGAGTAAAATCAGGACATTGTATTTTCCCTCGATGATCAATATTGAATATATCTGAATTTTTACAACAGCATCAGTGGTTTTCAATAATTAGTTTATGTAATATAACAGCTGTACATCAGGTTTGGAGAGAAAGTGGTTTCAAGTTGTGTATTCTGATTTTTGACGGTGGGGATGCTTTTGTTCACATTTGCATAAAGAAATCGTGCCTGTAATAACTAAGTTTGTTTGTCCATTCAATGATACTTATATTGTTTTCTAATAGTTATTAATAACCTTGTTACTGTTTGAATTGATGCTTTTGTTGAAATAAATATTCATCAACACAGAACTTCTTTTATGAGCTGCAGGCCTCTACAGAAAGGTGCATTTATATTACATGCTCAGATTGGTGTTACTGTACTGCAGCTGCTATTGTTAAGTATTACCCTAAATCTGATGAATAAATCACAGGTTTTTAAAAACGAATCCATCTTTAACAAGTCCTGAAAACTGCTGCATCCCACAGCCACAGTGTGTTCATAGCTGTCCACTTTGCACAAAGAGCAGGGCCACAGGACGTCTATAAAGCATCACAAGCCTGATGAAAAATGGAACAAAGGCTTTTAGGTATTCAAGGGTTTAGTCGCACTGGACGCTGAGGGAATGAATTATCCACATCCCCCATTGAAGATTCATTTTAATATCTCATTTATGGTGACTTTTGACACCCTTTTCGGTAAAATAATGACTGGAACTGGGTTCACACAGGTTTAAACTTTACCCCTGACAAACATATTAATTAATGATCAGATTAAGTCTGTAGATCGAGAGAGTGGCAAATACTGCAAACTATTGATTGGAGGGCATTCGTTGCTATGAAGTTGCTGGTTACACGACAACCCAAGAATCATCCGAGTAAGTCTCAGATAAAAAGGATGATCTGAAGGCAGACGAAGAGTTCAAGGCTTTTATAAAAGCTACTTCTGACGTCTGGAGATACGAGACGAGCAACAACGTCAAGCTGTTCAGACAACAACAATAAGCAAGAATGAAACAAATACGAGACATAACACTTATGTCACAAAAAAATGCATTGCAGTGTGATTTTATCATCGTAATATTTCCCAAACTTCTGTCTTTGTTGCAACAATGCAAAATGGTATATCAACCTCTGCATAAAAAGCTCTCATGTACCTAAAGCCATGGTCTGTTTTGAGGTCCTTGAAGTCTTATAATCAAACTTAAACTATTCTACATTATATATCAACATATGTGAAGTCTAGTCTATAATTTAGCGTCACCTTAATTCTCTTTAAAGTGTAACTCCCGCTCTCCGCTCCTCAGACCAGTACGCTACATACCGTATGTAGGTCGTCTCTGCCCAACCTACTTTCAGCTTTATGTAACATTTCAGAGAAGAGTTACATAATCACAGGAGAGGAGGCCGGCCTGCCTCATGTCTCCTCCTCATGCAGAAGAAGAGGCAGCACATGGAAAAACACAGCATTGTTTTGAACCCACCCAGACGGAAAAATAGCCTCAAATTAGATTAATGGATTTTTTGAGTGCAAGGCTATTAACTGGAGGGGCACTTGTGTGGGCAAGATTTATAAGAAAATAATAAAGTTTGGATTTTCATTCAGGTGCTTTATCTTTTTGTTTTGTTTTGTTTCTAGAAGCGACGGATCGGAGGGGCCTGTCTGCACATTCAGGCCAAACAAGTGAGCCATGGCTGATGTTACCCCGAGTAAAGATGAGTGTAGCTGGAGGAGAGGCTGCGTGTGTGTTAGTAGGAACACGTCTGTTTGCCAGAAAGGATGCATGACTGCTGTATTTGACTTCTATACTATTCATGATCAGAAAAAGCAAAACTAACAATGCAGTACAATAGAGCACAACCTCTTGAATCTTGTAAATTCATCATCACTAAATGGAGAGTTAATGTGGAAACATGAGTAATATCGCCATATTAGAGTAAAACAACAAGACACTGCAGGGATGCAATTACTGTTAAATTACTTATAAACTAATAACATCTTCAAAATAGGTTTTGTTTTCGGTCCCATTTCCATCTCAGACATTGAAAACAGATTTTAATTAAATTTAATGGAACGCTTTTTTTTTTTCAAGATTTTGGCTCATACAGCAGCACTCACTTGAATTAAAAAAAAAAATGACAGACACAGGTATTCAACTATTATATTTACGCATAACGCGATTAAACATTTCTAAACATTTACTATGATTACATTTGGTGGAAGTTTTTTTTAGTAGCTGTAGCTACTAAAATGATTAGTTTCTAAAATATTAAACTACTCGACAATATAAAAAGTAACTAATGGTAGCTTCCCCCCCACACATTTTGACTGCAGGACTTTTACATGACAACAGAGCATGTTTACGTTGTATACACAAATGTCTGTACAACATTTCACAGCAACTCATATACGATATTAGATATTTCAGTGTGGACCAAAGCTTTTGAAATGTTCATCTCCCACAAAAAGACACTCAGTGGCAGGAAGCCATTATACGGGCTGTAGATCATATATATTGTTGTCATAACATTTTCAATAACTCCACCACTGGAGTCATTGGGGTGTTAACTGTCACAAGCAAATATATGAATAACCAACAACAGATGAACAACTATTTCCTCACGCCATGTGCTACTGCCCTCTTTGATTTCTAGACAAACAACCCTGGAGGCAAACGCTGAGTTAGGCTGGGTTAAGCTGTAATTAACACAGTTTTCAATGTGGGTGGAATACTTTCAACAGGCGAGGCTTTCCACTGACGAAACAGAATACGATAGAAATGTCATCGATGGCGTTTCCTTGTTGAAAATAAACCAAAAGGAGCTGTGAGGGCCGTGTTAAGTGTGAAAAGTTCACAATTTTAAAGAAAACCAAAGGTTTTTGTGGTTTTCTTAGCTGATCATAATTTAAAGATATAGGCTTGGTTGAATTTTACTAATCCGCTTAACAGCAATGTATTATTATCTAACCATTTTATATCATAACTGTATATGTAAACTCTTATATAAAGCACACATAGTCAAATTTCATATACAAAACAATCAGACCTACTTATTAAACAGTGTGTACACATAACTGTAGTGTAGGGTTATAACAGTATATCACAGTATTGATTGATAATAATCATAGGACAGAATTTGAAAAGCTCACAGCTGATGTTCATTTAGTAGTTCATTTTAAATGCTATGGTGACGCTAGCATCTAAACTAACATGCTTCAGTCGTATAACGGGTCTCAATCCTTTAAAGATCAATGTAACTGTTAATAATATAGGATAATAATAACAATAACAATAACAGGGTTCAGGTTTAAGGTTTAGGTTTTTAAATAAAGTTGTATTTTAGTTGTTTAGTTGTTTTTTTATCAAATGTTTGAATTAATGTTCATTTTTGTTTGCTGGGTATTTCATGACTTGAATGAATCAATGAAGGCATGCAAGACATTAGCTGCCATCTCGCCCTGTAATCCAGGTTGGTTTTTACAGGCGGGCTAATTCTCTCCGTCCCTAGATTGGTGAACCCCACGTTGGGGTCAAAGAAGGTAATAAAAGCCCACTTGTTAGTCCAGCCAATAGTCAGTTTTACCATAATCTCTGACCTAGTTTCAAGGATTTGAACAAACTCAAGAGGTGTAATCAATGGTACAATCTTGTGAAACAGCAGATGGTGAGACAAGGAGGCCTGAAACGGTCTTAAAAACAATATTTGGAAGAGATATCACGTATGCTGGGAAGGGATCGGCAAAATGTAAACAAAGTCAGGAAGAGTGTAATGGTGGCAAAATAAAAAAAAAAAACAGGTACTGCATATAAAACCACGACAGCGTGCTTTTTGAGTCTATAAAACATATTTCCTGCTGACATTATGAAGATTCAACATAAGACGACTGTTGTGTGACTACTTCTACGAGAGCTGACGTCCTTGCTGATATAGCTGATCCATTCAAACGACCGGAAAAGATGGCTTTCAACCAGCAGCTGAGACCACGAGCCGCGCTGCTATTAGGCCAGCAGAAAGCAGAAGGCTCTTGTAGCAGCTTTATTACAGAGGGAGATATAGACTAGTTCGCCTGACTATAAAGAATATTTTGGCATTCATCAGTAAAAGTAAATCATTACATTTCTAGTGCTGCACGGTCAGATTTCAGACTGACATTCCAAAAAGAAAGTTATTTCTTTTGTCAGTTTTTATCTTAAATATAATTCGAGAGAAAGAAGACAAGAAGAGGAGCAGCTCAAAAACTACCAGCTGAATATATTAATTTATTTGTAACTATGGAGCCTGTTTATCATGCCAGGAATTTACCTTCATCAAAATGATGAAACACAAACCACAATCTGTTCTCATTAAACTCAGCTGACTCCTTTCAGCCTGGTGAGTTTATCCAGTTTGGTCTCCCTTTCTAAAACACAGGCTATGTATTTATTTGAAGGAAAATATGAAAAATGTTTGCAAATGTTTTGCACGATGTTTGATTCATTTGCACATACCTTGAAGTAGTGGTTACGTGCTCGTCTGACTAACTTATCGAGCTGTTGAGACACTAAAGACCCAAGTTCAGTTATCTTCCTTCATGCCACAGAGTAGGACTACATTAGCTTCTATCTTGGTGCTCACAGATTTAATACAAAGACATCCTACATTAACTTGTTGTTCCTTTTCTCACCTCATTTTCCTCTCTCATGCCGTCTATGAGCTCCATCACCTTAATGAAGTGGTGGCAGCGGAGGGAATGATCAATGTCATGTGTAGGAAGCGCTTTGTGCTGCCAGTGTCTCCATTCCCACAAAGATAGGTCCCTGGACGGGGGTCCACTTTTGGAATCTTCCTCCTACGGGACATGAAATTACATCATGATGGTAAGTAAAATACGAACAATATATTCAGGCTTTTAACAGAAGACAGGAAAGTATAGTGAGGTTCTTGCACGTACTTAAACCTTGGGGTTAGGATTTAGCAGACCTGAAATCACAGCAAGCTGCCACCATTCACTGTCACAGACGGGAGCCATAAGATGCAGTGAAATGAATGGCTCCGATCAATATCAAAATGTGTAGATATCCATTAAAAATATCTAAATTTACTTTTTCTACAAAACATAATGGTCTCAATTAAATTGCACTACCTTCAATGTGCCTTAACTGTATATTTAAAGATGGCAGCACACTGTGACGTCATATCTTTCTCTACACTGCAAACGTGACAAAAAAGTTTGTCTTATTTAATCATTATATGTAATGGATTTTTTTGTCATTATTAAAGGGTCTTGATAAAAAAAACTACACTGTATGTGGGTTTCATGGCCTGGATGGGTATGCTATCAAAATGGGCACAACAACAACTTTATCTTCATTTAGATTGTCTTCTATTCTCCGGTACTTTTCAGACCTGCACAAGAAAGACAGAAACAAACAAACCTGAGGCGGTCGATCACTGGGCAGGGACAGGAAACGGGACTGTTTCAGGGTTGGATGAGCTTCATCGTCCTCCAGCCTCATGGTGGACGCCCACAGGGAATATTCAGTACTGCTCAGAAACCCATCCGACGTCGCACTGCGCTGCCGAACTAACACATTAGGCACAGACAAACTCAGAAATGTGCAGTTTCTCCAATCAAGGTTAGCTTTTCTTCTCCATCTCCATTTTGTATGAGCAGAATCTGCCCGTCTGATCACTCACTCAGGTTTTGAGGGTGGATGAGTGAGGCCCGGCCCTCAGAGTGGGACCGTCGACCCCTGACGGACCGCCTGCTGCTCTCCCGATGGTCAAACTGGCCACAGGTAATGTGCATCTTGTGCATGGTGGGGTTCACCCCCTCGGGCAGCATGCGGGGACTGTTGGGGTACATGTGGAAACGGCTTTTGTTGCCGATAATGGACTTGTCTACGCTGCGCTTGTTGGTCTGGCTCTGGTTGTATGTCTGAGGAACAAAAAGGTTCAAAGTTAAGAACTTTGTGGATATGCGTGTGGCTATGTGCGTTTGGTAGAACATATATAACTCGAGGGGCCGTGGCTCATCTTGCTTTTATAGATGCAACTCAAACACTCACCCTCTCCTCGCGTCCCTCAGCCAGGATGACAACAATTCGTCCTTGCCGCTTACGTCCAGTACGCCCCATGCGCTGCACCAGGCGGGTGGGACTCTTCTGCGCATCGAAGCAAACAATGAGGTCCACCTCTCCGATATCCAGCCCCTCCTCCCCGACACAGGTCGACACCAGCGTGTTGAAGCCTCCCTGACGGAACCTGGACACCACCTACAACACAAGTGGAAAAGAAAAAGCTTTAAATAGTGAAAGCGTTTTAATCTTATGTTGTCATCCTAAACCCACGGGTATATACCCATCAGTATATGAAGTAAATGGAGTAGTTTGTTCTTGAGAATGTTACCACCGTAATACATTTTTATATTTCTTAATATAGCATATATGCCGCAGGTTACTGTAAATCTGCACTTGATGAATAAAAAGTCAGTCTACCTCCAGTTGTTCCTTTTGTGTGAAGCCTTTGACTCCCTTCCCCGCTGAAGCTTGGCCCATGAAGGTCATGACTCTGATCAACGGAGCATGGTGGTTCAACATGTCTGCGATCTCCTGTACGCTCTCCCGGAACGATGAAAAGATCATCACACGCGAGCTCACTTCCTGAGGACCTGGACATTAATGAGACAGAAGAGAAACCGGCCGTTTAATAATGACTTCAGTCGCCATCAGTCGGTTTATTGTGCCCGTTTGATTCAGATGCAGCGAGACTTTGTTCTGCGATCCTTTGTATGTTAAGGGTAAACGTTATTTTTTGCATTTGCCGCTAAGTCTAGATTCACTGTTAACATCACACGATACAACTACAATGTTGAATCTTTACGGTAAGCAGCTTTAACACAGCGCCAGTGTCTTTCTCTTTGTATTTAGAACCCGAAGACATTTGTTTGATTTCAGTATATCACCATTATTGTCTGCCGAGCTCTCACTCCACCGTCTGAAGTGCTGCACCACCACCTCCTCCAGTTTCTCCAGTTTGGGGTGACTGTAAATGAATGGCTCATCTGGACCTAGAAGTATTAACCATAGCGGATATTAGTCAAATAGCTTTATCTCAAAGCACCTTGATAGCTGCACAAACCAAATCAAGAACTTCTCATTAAAATGCCTCATTGAATAAGAAAAGGCTCATGCATTTGACTGGGACGGTAAGAATGAGTTCTCAGGTACCAGCAGATGGCTTCACAAACATTGCTTCCATCTCATGGTAAAGCTCCAAAAAGATGGGGGTCCTCTGCAGCTCATTTCTGGCTCTGGGCATCTCTGAAACAAACAGGGCAATGTGAGCGCTCATATCAAACATCATTCACAGACATTTACACATTATCGAGAGTCAAAACACCCGGGGTTACTGATCAATCCGGGGGGTGAAAGGAGGTTGTGTCTGTGGGTAAAAGTGCAACCGAATACACTGCAAGCCTTGGAAGTAATGTGACCGACCTCTGGATCCGTCCATGATTCCCTGGAAGTAAAAAAAGAGCGATCTGAGCCCCATCTGCATCAGCAGCTCGTAGCCGTGGTACAGGCTGATGCAAAAGGCAAAGTCGCCCTCCAGCCTTCCCTGCTGCGGACCCTAGAAAGCAGAGAGAGCACGTCAGTCCCTAAATTCATTTTGAAGAACAATTTGATTTAAAAAGGCTTTGAAAATAAATACCACATTATATCCCGCTTCTAATGTATTTCAAAATACATGAATGCATGATTGTCACTTGCAAATAAAGCACTGTATTCAGCTTAATTCTAAAATGCTATTTAAATCTTATATAATAAATACTTTGATGCTTATCTGGAATATCTCAACTTGGACAGAAAATCCATAAATGTTCATCCAACTACCAGACAATGGTCTAAAAGCTTTAAAAGAAAATACAGTACAAATCCAATAATCTAGATGGGTCATATTCATAAAGCTAGCCCTCACTGTGTGGTTGAATATTTTCTTTAGCCTTGGGCACATCTTTATGGAGCCCCTAAACTAGTACAAGTAACAATTAATACAACAAATAAAACTAATAATAAATAACTGGCTTCATTAATATCGTTAGTGAAATAATAACAAGACTGTAAATTAATATTACTGTTCCTTTAACAAACTAAATGATTTCCTCATCTATGCATTTATATTTCTGACCTGTCTGATGACTCTTTTGATGACAGTTTGCCAGTAATTATGCAAGGCTGTGTATCATAAAATGTTAAACTGTGTACTCTAGCACATAGTATATTTGCACAATCGCGCCCAAAGATTGATAGAGCAGCGTCCGTGCCTTGATGCATGGTGGTGGGTTCTTGCGAAACTGATCCCTGGCGAGGATGATCTGGTATTTGGTGAGAGTCCGCAGGTCTTTGTGTGCCATGACCCGGTTCTGGAACAGACGAGACATGAATTTCTCCAGCACCTGGCAGGAAGAGTAACAAACACAACATACACAGGTTATCGATAATTGCACAGCACAGGCATTTCCTGTGCTAAGGGGATAATGCATAAGACTGACACACACACGCACCTCGATTGGTAAACAGACTTATTTCACAGTGTGAATAGAGGTACTACTTCAACAAGAGACACATAATAACACTGAAATATGTTGGATTTGTTCCTTATCCTGCTTATCCTGTTTGTCAGATGGACATTTTAACAACATCTATTCATCCTCACGACCACAGATAATGGGAAGCTGAGTCATTAAAATTTCAATTTCAGCCGTGTGGAACGGCTGCTCTAGAAACTGGAAAAAGCAGAGCAGGAAAAAAAAGTCTCTGAAAGAAGAACTGGGCGGCCCTTTGAAATAAATTGGTCAAAAAATATGGACAGATGAGACGCAATTTAGTTGTAATTATTTATAAATACTGATGATAAGATGTGCAAAGTAGGCCAAATAATATTAGTCAGCAGACATTCATACAAATCTCACATTTTTCACATTCACAGTTTCATAATAATAATAGTTTTATAATGTTATAGGGCTAGACTTTAACGTGTATACATATATTTTGAAATACAGTATATATAAAAATATGTATCTTAAAGGGATAGTTCAGATAGTGAGGTTGTACACTCCAAAAAAAAGAAAAGACATAAAAACACACATTCTAGAATTCATATGGTATTTAAAAACACCTTCACAGTCACTACTGGGATAGAACATATTATGCTTTAACACACACACACACATACATACATACATACATACATACATACATACATACATACATACATACATACATACATATATATATATATATATATA